AGACAACAGAGTATAACAAACAAACATAAAATTAGGAAAAATAGAAAGTGTAAAAATAGGAGATAAACGAATATACACACCACTGTGATACACTATTCAGACGTCCCAGGCCTCAGCAGCCTAATCCATGGAAAGTACCTGGTTTCACAAATGTTGGGGATGTGAGGGTGGGAGAAGAGAGAGGGGGAAAATCTCCAAGGAAGATAGAGGGTTGTTTTGTTGGGGTCAGTGTCTTTCCTGCTTCCCTCTGGTCCAGTAGGTGGGCTGTCTGTGGTTGGCTGGTATCTGCACCCTCAGGATGGGGAGGGTTATCAGGTGGGAGGGTTGGTCTTGGGGCGGAGCTCCTGGAGGTGGGGTATAGATAGCACTTGCCCTTCCCCATGGGGGACTGCACCCCGAGGATCTCCTTTGGGGCTGCTCATGTGACGTGGACACCTGGTCTTACCTCCTTATCTCGCCTGCTGGCCTCACAATTCCTGGTCTCTAGTCTCTAGACTGTACCTCGCTCACCCTCCCTTTCTACTTCCCAGAGGGAACCTCTCTCTCTGGAGGTCTTGTGGGCTGCGCTCTGGGGGCCGCGTACCTGTCAGAGAGCTGTCTGTGTTGGGCAGTTCAGGGCCAGGCAAGCATGGGCCAGTTAGCGGCTGCGGGGGAGAGGGAGCAGCTGGGGACTTGATATTGCTTCCAAGTCCCAGGTGGTGTTCCAAGCTGGGAGTTGCCCAGACTAAGATGGTGACAAAGGTGTCCCAAGATGGAGGTGGCTGCTTTCAGAAATGGGGTGTTGGGTTGGGTGAGGCCGGACGGTGGCGGTGGGTGGCGTGTTCAGAGATGCAGCTCTGTGGCGTGCAGTGTTGTGGCTGGTGGCTGTCTCCAGACCCTGTGCAGTGTCCCCAGGTGCAGGCTATCACGTGTAGGGGACTTGGGAAGTCCAGCAGTCGCTTCTGCGTTGCGTGGGGTGGGGAAAGTGTCTCTGGGTCTGCTGGTTTTCAGTGTTTCCCCAGTCTTCTGTTTCTCTGTGGATCACCTTCTTAGTTGTTGCATTTATTATGGAGAGAGGGAGGCTGAAGGGAACTACTATTGTTAGCGTGTTGATTCCTCCTTTAGTTTTCTGTTTTTGCTTTATATGTTTTGGGGCTCTGTTGTTAGGTGCGTATGCTTTCTTCATGAACTGACCCATTCCATCAACCTGAAATGTCCTTCTTTGTCACTTGAAACAATTTTTGTGCTGAAGTATGATTCTAGATAGACCCTCCAGCTCTTTTTAGTTACTGGTTGGCTGTTATATCTTTTTTTTTTCCAACCTATTTCTGTCTCTTAATCTAGCGTGTCTCTTATAGACAGCATATACTTAGGCTAGTTTCTCCCTCATTTCTTTTCTTTTTCTCTTGGGCAGGCCTCGCTCTGTTGCTCCGGCTGGTCTTGAACGCCTGCCTGGGCTCCAGGGATCCTCCCGACTTAGCTTCCTGAGTACCTGGAGTACCGGCCGAGCCGCAGGCCCACTGCACCTTTTTGATCGGAGCATTTAATCCACTGACCTTTCCGTGGTCACTGAGGAGCTGGGGTCACATCTGTGTATTCCTGTCTGTTCTCTGTGTTCTGATGTCTTCTTGTTCCTTTTCCCCCTGTTCCTCCCTTCCTGTGTGTCCAGAACTCTCTGGTGCACCATTTTAATTTTCTCCTTGGGTTTGCACTCTATATGTTTAAAAGTGTTTTCTCGGTAGTTGCCCCAAGGGCTGGAATTAACAATTTGTCACCAGTGGGGCCTGATTCATAACAACTGTGATCTCAGTTGTGGGCAGTCCTGTCCCTTCCCCTACCTCATGCTGTGACTGTTGGGTCATCTATTTTGACACAGATTTATGGTCCTTACTCTGCGCGTGGCCTTTTAAATCAGGGAGGGGGGACTCGCAGCACAGCCCCCCCCACACACTCCCCCCACCCGGGCGCTCACCGTGGGCCACCTGGACTGTGCTTGCTGGTCCTCATGCAGAGGTAGGCCTTGCAGCTGGAGAAGGAAAGAGGAGGGCGGTGGGGCTTGCGTCTCAAGGGAGCAGGTAGCTCGAGGGAGCTGTCCCTGTCCCCTTCCCCACTGGAGTGCCTTGGTGGTGAGATTTGGGGACATCCTTCCGGCGGCTCATTAGAGGGCAGGACCCTGCGGCCTTCAGGCTCCGGCTTCTCCCCGGAGCCCAGGTTTGAGCTGAGCCAGGGCCTGCTCTTGCCACAGAGAGAGGCCGGGCACTGGCTTTGCCTTCCTGGTCCTCATGCCCTCAGGACACGCTCTCTTTGGTCTCGGGTGCCCTGTGGCTGTCGCCAGGGTGTGGCCCTGCGCTTTCTGATTGGCCTGGGAGTGGGGCGCTGCCTCCTCTGGCTCCAGGGGCTAAGCCACCTGTGCCCGACTTTCTGGGAGCCCCAGGCGGTGGTTTGAGGGCTCAGTTCATGGGCTGGGACCTCAGTGCTCAGCGCGGCAGAGCTGGGAGGTCCGCTGGTGGATGGCACTGGGCACGGGGAGCGCAGTTGATGCTGTCTTCCCTGGGGTGATGTCCTCACCTGGGGAATGCTTTCTCCCTGGCTGTGCCCACCCCACCTCCACCGTCCCCCCGTAGGACAAGGCAGCAAAAGTGCTTACAGAAGCCAAGCCCAGCACCGTAAGGAACAGATTTATTTTCTTTATAAATGACTCCGCCTCAGGTGTTCTGTGATAGCAACAGAAAGTGCACTCTGACCCCCGCCCCATTAGAGTTTCAGGGCTGGCCTAGCTAATGATACAGCCCCTCATTTCTTGTTCTCTTTCCGCCACCAAAGAGGCCCAGCTCTGTGGGTGTCGGCCACAGCATTCCCGAACCTCATCCCACCAACCCAGTCCCCACCCCACACTGAACCCCCATCAGGGTCATCTGAAGTTTTCCCAGTCCGCAGTGGTAAAGATGTTCCCTGCAGTTCTTTGTTTTGGGGGGTGGTAACCAGGGATTGAACTCAGGGGCACTCGACCACTGAGCCACCTCCCCAGCCCTATTTTGTATTTATTTAGAGACAGGGTCTCCCTGAGTTGCTTAGCATTTCGCTTTTGTTGAGGCTGGCTTTGAACTCAAGATCCTCCTGCCTCAACCTCCTGAGCCGCTGGGATTACAGGCGTGTGCCACCGCGCCTGGCACCTACATGTCTTTTATAGGTCCCAGAAGCTTCCCTGAATATTGAAGGAAATAAAATTTTTGCTGCAAGGCTACAGAGCCGTGGGAGATTCACCCTGGAAATTCTCTGTGTTTGGGGGAAAGTCACAGAAATTGTGGGGGGAAATTTTTCAATTGCCAAGGAACTTGTTCATTATCGGAAGAGAAAACACCCTCAGTTTTGTGGTCTGTGCCTTTTGAACCCAGGTACAGCAAGCACTTTGGAGTCAGGTTTTTACTCAAACACTGGCTCCAGTCACCCTAAGCTGTGTGGCTCCAGTTAAAATAATTTGCCTCTCTGAGCCTCCATTTGTCCTCTATAAAAATAGCAGCACAGCAATGCAGGGAATGGGCTCCGCAGCACCCCAGGTGCACACAGGTCCTCCGCCCACAGTGGCTGCCGGTTGTTCCCCACCCTTCTGCAGATGTCCAGGGCCTCCCCGGCTGCCTCTGGGCCCGAGAACTCGGAAGGCCTCCCTGGCCCGTTTTAAGAGCCAGGGGCTGTGCTGCATTTGAAGACGAATGCCTACAATTTCCCCCCACAATCTCTGTGACTTTGTCCCAAACACAGAGAATTGCCAGGGTGAATCCCCCACGGCTCTGTAGCCCTGCAGCAAAAATTTTATTTCCTTCAATATTCAGGGAAGCTTCTGGGACTGATAAAAGACATGTAGGCCCCCAGGGACGGGCAGCCGGGTCCTGGTCGGAAGCCCTGCTCCCCGCTTTCCGGGGGGACTGCCCCCCCCCCCCCCACGGCCTCCCTTCCTCCCTGCTTCCTTGCAAAGCGGGAAGACCAGGCTCTGCCCCTCTCCCACGGGGCGGGGACAAGCAAGGCTCTTGTGTGGCCAGTCCCCAGCGCCTTCCCTGGGCAGGAGGCTGTCTGAACTGAGACGGGGGCCGCCTCCGGGCGCTGCGCTGACCAGCCAGTGCCCAGAACCCCTCCTGCCGCTGTCCAGCGTCCAGCTGTGAGTGTCCCCGCCTCGTGCTCTCCGGGAGCCCGACTGCCGCCGCACCGAGATGCCCGGGGCTGGAGGATGCCCGCTGCTGCCCGGGGATCCCTGCCCAGCCAGGAGGCCCCGCGCCTGCCCTCCAGCCCTGGCTGCTCGTTATTCCCGCACTGTCCTTGGCTCCGCCAGTCCACTGAGCAGGGCCAGCGCGGCCAGGCGGGCGGGAGGCATCCTGGGGAGCCGTTGTGTCCCGCCAGGGCCTTCTGCCGTGAGCACTGCGGGCGGGTGGGCGGGGACAGCGAGACTGGCGGGGACCTTGTGCCCTGGACCGACTGGGGACCCGCTCTGGGCTTGGACCTGCTTCCCCTGCCCCGTCCCTGTCCACTCCATTGGCCTCGCCGGGACCCCTGGAGCAGTGCCATCTGCAGAGCTGGCCCCTGAGCCGGTGGCCCTGGGCACGTCACTGCCGCTTTCTGGGCCCACTTTGCACCTGTGAGACGGCCGCCCTGTCCCCCGGGGGAGCTGCTCAGCCCCGTCAGGACCCAGTGTGGCTCCCTGGGCTTCGCTCGCAGACCTGCAGGGCTGGGCCTGGTCTCCGCTCCCTGGAGGGGCAGGGCAGGAGGACAGGGGTCCGGCCACAGTGACCCAGCTCCAAGGGCAGGGCCCGCCTGAGCCGACCACACCCGTCTTCCCGACCGCGTGCAGGGACGGGACCCTGACCCTTCGTTGGTTTGGTCCCTCTTTCTCCCCTGCCTGACCCCTGGGGCGGAGCTCCTCTGCCTCAGTGCCCTGGGGAACTGGGAGTGCTGGGCGGGGAGGCCAGAGCCGGGTCCCCCATGTCGCCTGCTGGGCTCCGTGTGAACTGCTGCTCCTGTTCCCTCCTCAGCCTCAGAGACAAGAATCAAGGAGCGCTCATCCCCCCGGTGCTGCGGCTCACGGTGACCTACCTGCGGGAGAAAGGTGAGAGCCAGCGTCCAGCCAGGGCACGCGAGCAGCTGGTCCCCGCCCAGGGGGTCAGTGTCCATCCTGAGCATCCCACAGGCCAGCGGCTAGAGGAGCTGGAACCCAGCAGGGGGTGGCCGGGAACAGAAAGGTACCGGCACAGGGGCTCCTGGCGTGGCCTGACAGGTTGGCTTCCAGTCCCCACTCCCCTGTGTTAGCTGTGTGACCCTAAGCCAGTGGCTCACCATCTCTGGGCCTCAGTACCCTCGCCTGTCCATGGGGTTAATAGGTCCTGCCTCAAGAGCCCACAGTGAAGCTTGGCTAAGAAGATGCGTGTGAGGCTGTCCAGCACTGGCCTGCAGGACCCCCGCCCCAGCCAGGGCTGTTTGGACTCCTTGTTTGCAGGCGCCCTTGACAGGGTGGGTGTGGCCAGGACCTGGACCTGGACCTGGAGAGCCTGGTGGCCCCCCGGGGTTGCTAAGGCCAGGTCTCAGGTCCCCGGGGAAGGTGCAGGACACGGGCAGGGCCCACGGTCTGCAGCCAGGATCCACGCAGCGCAGGGTGGCCTCTGGCTGGAAATGGCAACACAGCTGCGGGGTCTGTAGGTTGTGACGCCCAGGGTGGCGTGTCCTTGTCACAAAAGGTCCACGAGCAGGGGCTCTGACCACCATCAGGGGCTGGCTCTAATTTCAGGTGGCCTCTGTCTCGCTGACCAGGGGTGGTCAGTGTGCACTTTGGACACAGACTGAGAGGGCCTCCCTGCTCCCTCCCTCCTTCCC